CGAGTCGTGGATTAGATCCTCCGGATATGGCCCAAGCTCCATCAGGAACCTCTCCGGGTCCATCAATCTTGGTTAAAGTCAACCACAGATGTTTACAGGATCTGAATTCAGATCTCTCCATCTCATTTGGGGGGGGGGAGCATTTTCTTTTAAAGTGCCAAAAACTGCAGCATCCCCTCCCCATGGACTGGAAGTAACCGTGCTAGAAGGTGCCAGTGAAGCAGGCAAGCCTGCAATGCAGAAGGCCAGACGGACACACCTGGGCACGCCCTTCCAGTTGCACCAGGACTACAAAACCCATGCTTCCCAGCCAAAAGAGGCATGCCGTTGGGGATAGCTGGCGCCCTCCCAGGAGTGCCAGGACGCCAGCTCCTTTCATTCCCACCCAGCAAGGCCCGCAAGCCCTCCTCCGGATCTGCCCTGGAGGGCTGTGGACCAGGGGAACTGTAGTCCCGGAGCATCTGGAAGGACAGGCAGCTGGCTCAGGCCATTGGAGCGTCCCGTTCGGATCTGAGGAAGGACGTGTTCCCGCCAACAGCCCTCACCTTGCCTTCCCACGCGTCCGCCGACCGGCCCCACCGGCTTCCGGCCGCAGCTCCCCAGAGACATCGGCCTCTCCGCCCGCCGCTCCTCCGCCGCTCCCGCCCCGCCGGCCAGGCCTCGCCCGCTCCCTTGGCCCCGCCTCCAAGCGGCCTGCGCGCGCCCCCATTGGTGCCCGGTCTCTAGGGGCGTGACCGAGAGTGAGACCCAATGATGGAAGCGTGGCCGACGCGCGGAGGGAAAAGTTCTGTTCCGCGCTCGCTGATTGGTCAGTTCGAGAGGCTACGTAGGACGCTTGATCTCAGGGTTTCTGGGCAATGTAGTTTAAGAAAAGGCGCTTTTTTGAGAGAGAGAGAGAGAGAGAGAGAGACTTTCTTCACTTCTTGGGGAGAATGGGAGTTTGGGTCACTTTCCTCACTTCCTCTTTAAAAGCTATATGGTGCCAGGCTTCCTTCTGATGCAGTGTTTCTCAACCTTGACAATTTTAAGACATGTGGACTTCAACTCCCAGAATTCCACAGCCAGCATTGCTGGCTGTGGAATTCTGGGAGTTGAAGTCCACATGCCTTAAAATTGTCAAGGTTGAGAAACACTGTGTTGAAATCCAACAAATCCTTAAAAAGGGTCGTTGATGTGGCCTCCAGCCAGATGATTGGTCCCATGGGAGCATCATTTATCTAGGACATCTGAGGCTGCACTTCAGAACATGCACAAATTGGAGCAAGGCAGGAGACGCCTTGCCGATATGAAAAGACTGTACAGTAAATACAAAATAACAGTCAGAGGAAGAAAAGGATTGTGTGGGAAACATAAAGATTTTAGGAAGTGGTTTCCTACAAAAGAGCCACTCTTGCTTAAAACTGTCTATGAAAATGTCTTCAATGACTGTGGTCCTTCTAAGCTCCTACATCTTGCCTGAATTGTTGCGTAAGGATGCTGTAACCTGGTTCTGATATCCTTCAGAATTGGGCCGGTGGCTCCACCACAGCTTCGCATCTGTTCTTCTTGCAGAAGAGTACGGATACCCCTCGTTGATGTCTTCTGCATTTGGGAGGACTGAAAAAAGAATGGAAAGGAGAGTAGATATAAACAATGAAGAGGTAGCAGGCAGGTCCATTGTCAGCTTAGTTCATAAACTGAGACTTGGTCCGAGTGTTGAGAAATCACGGAAGAAGTGTTGCATATCGCTCGACAATTTGCCCCCTTAATGAACACGCTGTCATAGGGGTAAGAAACTACTCTCTCAATTTCCAGAAATCTGTATTTACACCCAACTAAGCATTAAATTCGACTGGAGTTGGTCGGTCAATACATTTAAATGAATACATAAAGGTATGTTGTTAAAGTCAGTATAATTCTTTTCCAGCTATGTGGGAACTCGACAAGTTTCTGAAGAAATAAAATGAGAATATGAGGCAGTCTTTGGATGTAGTGCTCAAAAAAAAAAAAAAGGGTTCTTCTAAGGAGGTGCCTTCTTTTTATCTGGGTGCCTTTTAGAACAGGTTTGCTCACTGTGTTAATTCCACAGAATTCATTATAATGGGTTAGGAACATAATGGAACCATTGATGAGTTCAGACATCTGCACACACATACCGAGAGGTCATGTGTAGAGGCCAAACACCATTTTTCAAATATACTTGAAGAGCTAAATGCAGGAAGTGGCTTCTCTTCACGTTGTCTGGAAACCAGGGGTGGGACTAGGCAGAGCATTAGTAGCAATACCCTATGTACTCAGCCGAAGGCTGCAGAAGGGAACAGGCTAGGTCGGCTAAGGATGCACTCAGCCTTCCATCTCTTGAGTTCTGAACGTTTACCAACCGGCTACCCAACCTGGAAACCTTCTTGAAAGACAGTTCAAGAAGGGTCTACATTTAGACTGGTTTTTAAGGGACTCTACTACACCCACCTTGCTACAGAAAAGAATCATCAATATGGGAAACATTGCCTTTGGCGTAATCCTTGCTGTGCTGGCTTCACTGATTATGCTAATCAATGGTGTTGTGGTTCTTGCCCTGGTGCGGCTGATCTGGAAGAACCATTGCCCCGGCCTGTGCTTTGTTTTAAACCTCGCTATCTCTGACTCCTTGGTGGGCTTCACCATTACGGGTCTGGTTAATGAAGAACTGTCTGGTCCCGAGCACCGGACACCCCAGCGATATTGTGTCTTGCAAATGGCTTCCATCACCTGCCCTTCCGCTGCCTCCATCTTCACAGTGATTCTGGTCACCTTTGACCGATACTTGGCTATTACACATCCTTTCCGCTACTTCAGAATCATGGGTAGCCCAGTGGTCGGGATTTGTATCGGAGGCCCCTGGCTGCTGGCCTGTTTGATCGGTTTCCTACCTGTGATGGTCCACAGCTTCCAGGAGAAGAACTACCAAGGTCTGTGCACCTTCTTCGCAGTATTTCAGCCCACGTACACCCTGGTGGTCTTTTGTGTCAGCTTCTTCCCAGTGTTCTTTATTTTCCTCTATTTCCACTGCCGCTTGCTCAAGGTTGCTTCTTTGCACATCCAACACATCCGAGAACTGGAACCCGCCAGTCTGCCAGCCGCCTGCCCAGCCTCTCAGCCTGCCAATGATACCAAAGCATTGCGTACTGTGTCCATCCTGGTTGGTTGTTTTGCCTTCTCCTGGTCCCCCTTCTTTGTGGTTAGCATTGTCCAGATTGCCTGCCAACGCTGTTACCTCCATCGCCTGCTAGAGCACTACCTCTGGGTGTTGGGCGTGTGCAACTCTCTAGCAAATCCCCTAATCTATGGATATTGGCAGAAGGAAGTTCGCCTGGAGATCTGTCAGATGTGTTTGTGCCTGAAGAACAAAATCTTTCCTCTTTTTCACTTTGACAGCCACCCTGATGCTGCTGTCACCCAGCCTGGAGGACCACTCTATATCATCTCACTAGCCCAGCTGAAGGACTGATGTAGGTTTTTAAAAAAAATGTCACTCCCGGTAAGGTTCTTCTCTTATGTGTTTCACCAAGTCGTCTGTCCAGGAGCAATGTTATTCCATGGTAAATGGGTGCAGTCTTTTCCCCCATAGCAGTAAGAAGTTTAGGGCCACTTTGAAGACTTTATACTTAAACTTTATTTCTTCTTAACTGTACATTATGACTAAACTCTAAAAGGCAATGGTGGCAGTGCCAAGAGACTCTAGACCTAGCACTCCCAAACTCTAGACCTAGCACTGGAAAAGAATCAAAAACCTTGGTCCCAAAGAAGCTCCCATTTTGGATCATCTAGAGATGTTTGGATAGTTCTTGAAGACATGTGTGCATGTATTGGTTCATGGGTTCTGACAAAGAGTAACAGCAGCTTAGTCATAATGTACAGTTGGTTATCTATAGACGGTGAACTGCTGCTTTTTACAAGGTCAACTAAGGATGCGTCCTTATGGTCAGTTGAGGTCAACAGTCTTGAGGTTTTTACTCTGTCTCCCATAAACATATCATGATAAGAAAAACGGGAGAAATGATGAAGAAAGAAACACATTTTGTTTCTACAACACATGCAAACCAACATGAAGATCCACTCCATTAAGTTTATAAAGTTGGTTATACTTTTCCGCCATTCGTGAAGAGATCGTATCCTGACGATTTCCTGTTGAATTAGATTGGCAGATGGACCATATTTACTCCCTGGCCACTAATAGCTTGGATCCTGATAAGTGAGCCCTGGAAAAGCAAGAAGCAGAACCTGGAGATTTCAAAAGCTGTAATTATATCATGCTTGTATTTCCTCTCTATGGAAACAGAGGACAGGAACCACACTTTGCTGAACGCAAACTGGATTAGCCTTGTTTGTGCATTAACAGTGACAACAGAGGCCACGTGGTACAGCAGGATCAAGCAAGCCAAATTCATAAAGGCCAAAGTGGGAAATGTTCAAATTCATGTCTGGTGCAGTGTGAGATTACGGTGGGGATTGTCAATCTCTCGATCAATGGCCATGTTTTAACATTGGAAGGGCATTGGGGGGAGATTTTTCCTCCCCTATGGCAGAGTTTTCAGTTGATGCCCATGTATTTCAAACTGATATATTTGCATGATGATTTTAATTCATTTGCACCTCAGAATGGCAGCAAACTGTCAGTGGAGACTTCAAGACCCACCCAAAATGGAGTCTTAAAGTCTTAAGTTGCAAAGTTTGAAGACCCCTGGGCTAAGGTCAATGTTATCCAAATCTTATAATCCCATGAATAGGGATGCTTTATTCTACCCTGCAGATTGCAGCCTAGAAGGAAAGGCAAGGATGCTTTACAGCAGAGGTCTCCAACCTTGGCAACTTTTAAGACTTGTGTACTTCCCCTCCCAGGATTCTGCTGGCTGGGATATTCTGGGAATTGAAGTCCACGTGTCTTCAAGCTGCCAAGGCTGGAGACCTCTGCTTTACAGGGTTTTCTGGCAGTATTATCATTTGGTTATCCCTGTAAACAATTCTCAGATCTAGGTGATCATAACTTTGGGGAGACAGAGCAGGGGGAAAAATTAATGGCCTATTTTTTTTTATTCCTTACAGGTGATAAAACCACCACCCTCCGTAAGCAAAACCATTTGGCTAGTGAAAAATGTTGTGGGATGCCGCGGCTAAGGAGAGCCTTTATCCAAACTTTATTAACTCTCGGTGCTTAATTGCGCCAATGATGCCAAGAAAGCCTGGCGTACGCAAACATAAGCTCTGAGAAATTACCCGTTGAGTCAGTTTTATTGCCCTTTGATTGTGTTTGCCCTTAACAAAAACAGACATATGGAGGAGTGAACGACGCTGAAGAAACCCCGAAAGGAGGAATATTAGCAAATATGTTGGAGCCCATTAGGGGGAATTGAGCTGAAATGTCCATCTGTGATGCCGGATCTCTCGTCGGGAACAGTTGGTACGTTGCCACAAAAACGTGACAAAGAAGATGCCAGTCCATCTGACCAGTGTGGGTGGAGGGCTGTTGTGATTGGGAAAACATCCAATGCCAGTTCCACCAACCACTTCAGATGGATCGAGGAAGTCAAGAGGATCATTCAGTTCTATCCATTTGCTAGCTTGTGACTGATATTGTGGAGGTCTTGGTTATGCACAGAACGGTCACACACGTTTTTGCTTGCTTAACGGCTGAAGAATCCATCAAGGTTAAATCCTGTTCTATTTTCTTTCGTAATAGTAAGACCCCCCCTCTCCCCAGGCACCCGCTGCATGGCTATTTTTATTGCCCACTGTGTTGTCATGCACCTGCTGTAGTTGAATTGCATCATTAGGATTCATTTCCCTTCCCTAAGGACATCTCTCTCGGTATCGTGTCTTGGATAGCCATGTTCCTAAAAAGCTATTTTTATCTGCTAAATGGGAGGTGTAAGGGGTTTTTTTGTAGGAGAGAACCCACGTTGATCGATTGTAGCCAAAAATCTGGCTTCGGGTCCAGTACCATCTTTTCAGCTATGAGATTTTATTAAAAGGCACAAGCTTTTATGAGTTGCTAACAATCAGTCTCTCTCTCTCTGATTTTTTGCTCTTATCGTGTGAGTTATCCTGCAGTCAACCAGAAGCTACAATTCACTGGATGAATCTTGAGGATTCCCCGGGTGATCCTTTCTCTAGAGTTGAACTGGTTTGCAACGGTACCAAGTCAGGATTCAGGGACATTAATTTAACCCTGGCGGATGTATAAATCCCGTAGCTGGACAGGCAATTCTTATTTCCTCCTTTCAAAGAAAAGACCTATTGTTTAAACATGCAGGCGCCTGCCCTAGTCTCAGAAAAATGTTGTATTTGCAGATATATACACATACACGCACATCCCAGGATTCGATTCCAATAAATAGTTTAATAGGGTTATATGACACTGGAAGGAGGACTGCAGCAGCCCCCATATTTCCCTTTCCTATGGCATTAGCCAAAGGGAGGGGGGTTGCCTGCTGCAAAAGCCACATGTCAGTGAAAAGGATTTCTGACTCAAAGCTCTCTTCATGGAAGATACAAACACAGACATAAGTGCTCTCCCTCCACGTTCCACCGTCTTCCTTGGGGGAAAGCACATGCACTGGGCACTGAATACTGCATTTGTGGACCCATTCTCCCCTTCCCCTGAAGCCACCCTCCCAATACTGAGCACTCGGCACGTGGAGGGTAAAACAAAGTCCATGTAGACCAGAAAAGAAATACGTGAAGATGCAGAAATGGAGGGGAGCAGGAAGGACAGCGGGATTGCCAATCCAAATGGGCACCTTAAAAAGGGAGCCTCTTCAGCTGCTCGTAGGTGATAAAAAACTGCCGCAGAGTTAAAGAAATATCTTTCAAAGGAGGAATTACTAATCGTTCCCTCCCTCATCTGGGTCTCCTTTCCAGCTAAGTAACGTGTCTAGTTTTGCATTTCAACGAGCCCGAGAACCCAAGCAGACTTACGGGGTTAGAACTGCAGAAATCAAGGGAATATGTTAGTGTGAAAAGAAGGGAAAGTTAAAAGCAACACACAAATTAACAGCTCTGATTTCCCCCCCCCACACCACCACAATTTGGAATTATAATAGTTGATCATCATCTATGACACTAATGCAGGCGAGCCATGGTAAGAAAACAGGGATATTTTATATCGCTGGAAGGAACAGCTCTGGGTAGCTAGCCAAAGATGAGCCAATAGCCCGAGTGCATCATAAATATGTGAAGGTGCCTTATAAATTTGGCAGAGTTCTCCAGTCACTTATGCAGGGAGTCTTTCCCAAGCCTTAAAAGATTCAGCAACTGGATTGGATAAGGATAGAATATACCCAAGTTGCTTTTGTCTGCTCCCCTGAAGTGTGTAGAATTGTTCAACAAATTCATATGTGCTGTTTACATCAGCAGACTCCCGAGAAAAGTGCACTGTTCAAATGTCTCTGCAGAATAAATCGTTCGGGAAGGCTAAATTGGCCCTTCATCGTATCAGTTAAAAATTCAGAAGCTCCCTTGGCCTAAATCTGACCCTAGCTTTCTTCCCTTCCGTGATTTGGCAAGTGGCGTGAGTCAAACATGATTGATTAATAACTCAAAACACGGTGTAAGCACAAGAGTTGGTACAGCGATCCAAATTAAGTGCTTAAAGCAAATGTTGTTTAACATGCACGTTCAGGCACTTCACCTAGCTCAGTAAAAATGAGTTATTGTTCTGGTTCATACCACACAGATCGGAACGGGTAACTTATAATTCAGTATTGGCAGGAAATTTGCCGTATCTACAAAAGCCTTGGCTACAATCGATAATGGCTTCAGAAATACTCCCCGGCCTTCCCGGCATGATGGTGCCTCTGCTTTGCGTACAAAAAGGATACAATGATATTCCAGGGGCCAAGTCTCAACCAATTTGGCCAGAATCCTTTGTAAAGTGCAAAGAAGCCCTCGCTTTTCCAAGTCTGCAAAGGCGGTAAGAAACCACATTCAAAATACACCCTGGTCTGTACTTTCTGTGCTGTCCCCAATTATTTATTAAGTTTATACCCTGCCTTTATTCAGGAGCTCGAAGCACCCCATAAGGGAATTCCCATTTCACCCCTAGCTCCTGCTCCCACCACAGCAAGGAAAACAGGCTGTAGAGGAGGAGAAGGACAAAGTCAACCAATGCATTTCCATGACTTAGGGTGGAACTGAACCAGGTGTCCCTACTATTAGTCCAGCACTTGAACCACTACACCACACTATCCTGACTCCCTCAAGATGGGGCCACTCTACTTCTTACCTTTAGCAGGCCATCCATTGTTCCCCTATAGAGCTCCACGCTTCCCACGATGGCCCGCTGATTCATCATGCGGGTTCGAACCACATCCACGGGGTTGGAAGCTATGGCACCAGCCAGTCCACAGGTAAAACTGGAGCTGGACAGACAAGCAGAGAAGAAACCATTTAAAGGCAGGTGCATCTCACAGAGTAACTAGAGATTGTGAATTTCTTCCTTCATGGCACTGGTTTCAGGAACAGGCCCAATACAATTCTCGGGAGAAAATGTGTGAAGAAAACCACAAGTTTTAATTGCGTGTAGCAGAATGACCAATTCTTCCTCTGGGTTTTCCACAACTCACGTAAACGTTTAAGAACAGTAATGCCAGCACCTCACCAGAAGATGGGTTTTACCCAGCAGGGTTAAGTCTCTTTGCTCCTTACAATTTCTAACAGGGGTTCACATTCGTTTTTGCTATATTTTAAAAGCGACAAGCTACGGATTACACATAATATTGGGCCATAAATCTTGGTTTATGTAGCTGCGTTAACATGTCATACTAAACCAAAGCTAAACAAGTGCATAATGTGGCTTAGTGCAATGCCAGTCTCCACCCACTGGAAGGATGCACGATCTCCAGGAATCACAGGGGAAAACACCACAATGCCAAAATGTGAGCTCTTGGCTACTCCAGGCCCACAATCCATGCCTCGTTTCATAGTCAACACAATTTGAGAAGAATGCATTTAGGTTAACAACCAGAACAGCCGCAGGTACTCACATAAAATGTGTGAGAATTGTGTCCCCCATGAGTCCTGAAAGTATTAAGTGTTTCTTGGTGATGTCATAGACTGGTAACTCAACTCCTACCACAATAGCAGCTCGCTGGGCAGTGGGAACCACACCCTAGCCAGAGAAAAGACCAGAAGTTAGAATGGTTTTAACCACGACATCACAATCAATGACCAACTAACTTCCATTCATCTCATCCTTAACTGTTTTGAAGTTGGCAAGTTTTCACAGGGGAAAAAAAACAGTCCACTGGCTCTTAGGTCTGATCTCAAGATTCTTACAATACTGCTTTAAAAGGATTGATCTATACGTCTGATTTATCAACTTCTCTTTGGGCAAAATCCTGCTTTCGTTAAGAAATGTCAATGCCAAAAAATAAAATCTCTTATTTGCTATGCATTATTCTGGTTTATTTGTTTGCTTGCTTTACCATTCTCGTTCCTCTAGAGAATTAGGGTCGTACTGGCTGGTCCCTGAAAATTAAAAATAAGGGGCTTTGGTGAAAAAGGACATTTCAGTTGAGGAACAGGATTAAAACTACGCAACTGTTAAGAGATCTCTCTTCCAACGTTTTTTTTTATAATTTTTATGACTGCTACCGCCATGTTTATAACTTCCTTTCAGACACAACGGTGATACTAAAAATTCTAGAATCAGCCACCAGTTGTCAAATCGGCCTAAAGGGCTGAGCCTTAAATTCAACAAATTGTTTAAGCTGATGGAGAGCAGATTCAAGTCTCCACTTAATAGCACTTAGCAATAGCAATAGCACTCAGAATTATATACTGCTTCATAGTGCTTTACAGCTCTCTAAGTGGTTTACAGAGTCAGCCTATATTGCCCCCAACAATCCGGGTCTTTATTTTACCGACCTCGGAAGGATGGAAGGCTGAGTCAACCTTGAGCCTAATCAGGATCGAACTCCTGGCAGTGGAGCAGAGTTAGCCTACAATGCTGCATTCTAACCACTGTGCCACCACAGCTCATAATAGTGGGAGGCCCTGGCCAGGTTTGAGGCAGTAATACTCTCTTTCAGACCGACCAACCTCACAGCATTATTGAAGTGACAATGAAATGAAGGGTGATTCTTTTGAGCGCTACTGTGAGTGCTCAGAGGAAATTCAGAGGACTGATGATGTTACCTAATTGGGTAACAAAACGCCTGCAAGAAAACAACCAAGCTCAGAGAGCAAAAAAGGACCCCACAGTCCTCCTCCTCCTCCTCCTCCTCCACTCCACAAACCCCATCCCCTTCTAGCATTGATGATGTTGCCTAGTTTGGTAATGAAACGCCTGCAAGGAAACAACCAAGCTCAGACAGTATCAAGGACACCCAAGGAAAGGCAGAATATAAACACAAGAAAAACCGTCTTAGACAAGCCTTCTCCACGTTTGTCTTCGGAAGCAACCACAAAACACACGGATAGTGGGAGGCAACACAAGGGGCCCTTACCCTCCAGAGACCCCGCGTGCCTTCTTGCTGGTAGATGTCTATGAAGCTTCCAATCATGCCTCCTTGGAACAGGCTGCCTTGAGCTTGCATTCGAATCTGAAAACGAAGAGAGCAGGGAAGCCCGTGGACATATGCAAGCCAACATTATTGCTCGGAGGCCAAGGAACTAAGCATGAATATTCATTCCCAGCCTCGTCGGGTAACCCAAGTGTCATGGTTCCGACAGACGACACTCTTCAAAAGAACTTCGAGGCATTGTTTACCTTAAAGAATCTTTGAGTAGCATAACTTTGGCACTGCATAATCGAAGCCCAAAACTGAATTCCCCTCCCCTGAGCACATAGTATCAAAGCACAATTCTCTCCTCCAATTAACAGCCATAAATCACATTCCCCAATTAGCTTGAAGCAGGGGCCTCCTCTCCAGTTCTCCAGCGCACACACACCCAACAATGTCATAGCTGCAATTCAGGTGCTTGGCAGCCAGCTCACCTTTACAGCCGGTTTCAGCATCCCACGGTCATAGGATATGATTTATGATATTTTGGCCAGACACTACCTATTTTTTCCCCCAGCCCAAAATATCCATAGGAATGCATTGGGCTCGCTTAACGACTGCTGCATAAAAGGTCATAAAACCGGGTCGGTTACATGGATGCCTCGACTTACGACATCATGATTGAGGAAGGAAATTCTAGTCCTAAGTCTTTGACTTAGTCCTAAGTCAAGGATGAGGTGCAATCTAGTGATAGAGCGGGACTGCTAGAATCATAAAGTTACAGACTTTGAAAACTGCCAGGAAGTAAAAACAAAAAGCACCAACAGACCCAGCAATGAGCACAGACCGTGACAAGTATCCAGCAAGGAAGACTCCTCTTACCTTTAGTACATCTGTTGGATTAGCCAGAGCAGAGGAGATGACTCCTGAAATCACCCCGCAGATGACATTGATCAATAACGTTTCATCTGCAATTAGGAAGAACGTGATATAACCCAAAACTCTGCTCAAGGAGAAAAAAGCGACAGAAGTAGATTTCAGGAAGGAAAAGCAAAGATGAGAGAGAATATATATATTGAGTCTTGAGTGTTGTTGGGTTTTTTTTGGATACACCTGTCAGCCCCAATATGGGAGGAAGAAATCTTTTGCCTGTATCAGCTCAATCTAGAGCCATCCACAGGCAGCAGTCGCTACTGCGACATCATTTGTATTCGCTACATTTTTCGATTGCTAACAAAGAGTTAAAGGGGGACTGGGACAGCTCCCTGATACAGCTGACAAAGCGAGAAAGAGCCTGTGGCCTAGAGGTTAACACAGCTGCCTAATGTGCAAGCAGCCCAGGTTCGAATCTCAGAAGGGTATGGCTGGCTGATGAGAGCTAATCAGTTCGAAATAGCTATCCCAGTCCCCCTTTAACTCTTTGTTAGCAATCCAAAAATTTAGCGAATATATATATAATTCTTTTATATATATAAATTTATTTATCTCTTTCTTGTGCCTAAGGTGTCAGGGATATATCGTAAATCTGCAAGATTCCAATCAAAGCCATTCTTTTCCAAACTGTTAAACTAAAGCAGGGAGTCGATTACCAATTTCCTTGCTTTTGCCAGAATTGTTAGAGTCTGAAGGAATGCCACCCAATCCCTTAAGCTTCCTGGGAAGTAGACGCAGAAAGGATTGTTGATAGAGATTCAGTAGAATCTGAGAACTGGAATTTAAAAAAAAACAAACAACCCAGCCAATGTGATTAGAGAATTAGTTCAGAAAGGAAAAGCCAAGAGTTAGAGCAGAGTTAGGCTGGAAAGGGCAGGGGTACTGACCGCAGCAATCTCCAAAGAGACCGGGTCACTGTCTGCCCAGGGCCTGCAGGAAAACAAACATTTAAGACATAGTTCCCATAAGCAGAGACCAAAACATAGCACATGTGACAGTGTAGGCAGAGGCAACTTGGTGGGCGATGAAAAGGCAGGCAGGGCAGCATAACATCTGGATTTTTTTTTTATCAGCGTGATATTCCCCCGTTTTGAATTTTGGAACAAGCGTCAACATTACTGCATTCAGATGTGTGTGTGTGTGTGTGTGTGTGTGTGTGTTTTAAGAAGAAAAGCCCTGGATTCTAATCTTCATCAAGGAAAATAGGAGCACTGTGCATCCAGAGACTTCATCTAGATTTATGAAAATGTCAAAAAATGGATCAGGAGGAAACCAAGTACAGGTAGTCCTCAACGTATAACCGTAATTGAGCCCAAAATTTATATTGCGAAGTGAGACAGTCGCTAAAGGTGAGTTTCTCCCCATTTTATGACCTTTCTCACCACCCTTAAGTAATCACTGCAGTTGTTAAGTTAGTAACATGATTCTTAAGTGGATCTGGCTTCCCCATTGACTTTGTTTATCAGAAAGGCAATCGCATGATCTTGCGACACTGCAAATACGAATCACTTGCCCAGCGTTCGAATTTTGATCAAGTGACCATGGGGATGCTGCAATGGTCCTAAGTGTGAAAAACGGTCGTAAGTCACTTTTTTTCCAGTGATGTTGTAACTTTGAATGGTCCCTAAATGAACTATTGTTAAGTCGAGGACTACCTATAGAAAGAAATGGGTGGAATGAAGGCCTGAATTTTGCTTGCTGCAGCAACTTTGCCCTCCGTGACCGAGCATTTCTCTATCACATCTGTTTCATCTAGAAAACCATCCATGTTCTCTCTAATACAAGCATCTGTGTAGGCTTACATAACTGCCTCACATAGCAACTATTGAAGATTGATAATCTTCAATAACTAAACTATTTGGGGTCTGAGTGCAATGAAACAAGGCACAATACATCTCAAAATGACGTAGGAAGAATCAGAAGTAAAGATTTAAGGAGAGAACAACATAATTCAAACTGTCTTGGGGTAAAAAAAATAAAAATAAGAAAGCACTTAATAGAACACAGGTGATTTTCTATCCCATCTTTATGACCTCTTTTGCATTTTTAGTTCTCTCTTTGCCCACTTTGGGAATCTGAAAGTCCAGGAAGCTCAGATGAGTCACAGATAATTAACTGATTAATTATCCATTACTTAATATATCTGACACTTCATAGCTTTGTGAACGGGGGAAAAAAGATGCACAATGTTTCCTTTGCATACCAACCTTCTAAACGGTTCACAAAAAGTCGTTTCAAACTCTGGTATATGCCAATCTTGATCGTGCCGTAAGATGCTTGTCTTAATAATGCTGGTGCGATGCTGCAATCACAAAGAACAACAATGATCTAGCTAGGAAAACAGCAGCACTCCTTCACTTTATTTAGCCGAGCCCACAACAAACAACCCTGAACCAAGAAACTGATGGGTTAGTCTTTCATGTGATCCCAACCATATTGCTGTACAGAGAGTCCTCCACTGACGCCCACAATTGAGCCCCAAAATTATGTTGCTAAGTGAGACATTTGTTAAGTGAGTTTTGCCCCATCTTGTGACATTTGCTCACTGAATCACTGCAGTTGTTAAATTGGCAACCCAGTCGTTAAGTGAATTCTGGTTTCCCCATTGACCTTGCTTGTTAGAAGGCTGGAAAAGGGGATCACATGACTCCGGGACACGGCAACTGTCACAAATAGGAGTCAGTTGCCAAGCATCCCAATATAAATTGTGTGACCATGGGGATCCTGCAATGGTCATAAGTGTGAAAAATGGTCATAAAGTTACTTTTTTCAATGCCGTTGTAACTTTGAACGGTCACCAAATGGACTGTGGTAAGTCAAGGACTAGCTGTATAGGGTAGGGAAAGAAGCTGTGCACACAGGAGAGGAACAGAGGGGAGCGGTACTTACCCAGAGTATAATGCTAGAACGCCTTCTTCTCTGGAGATGCGGAACAAGGCATGGAACATGCCCCGGTATTTGATCTCTCGGAAACGGGAATCAATGCTTTGACCTTGGACTTGAAGTCGTGTTTTGGTGAGATCCACAGGGAAGGTCCCTAGGAAAGAAGAAGCTGCTGAATCACACAGCAATATTTAAGACAGTAAGAACAATTAACCAGTGGAACAACCTGCCTTCAGAAGTGGTGAATGCTTCAACACTGGAAGTTTTTAAGAAGAGACTCGACAGTCATTTGTCCGAAATGGTATAGGGTTTCCTGCCTGAGCAGGGGGTTGGACTAAATGACCTTCAAGGTCCCTTCCAACTTTACTATTATTATTATTATTATTATTATTATTATTATTATTATTATTATTATTATTAAGTGATCTAATGACTGCTCTAACATGTTAGCTGTTCCGCAGTTTGTAGGACTGACTACAGCAGTCGCTGGGCAACTGATTCGTAATTACGACAGTTAGTGTCTCAGGGTCACGTGATCCACCTTTTGCGACCTTCTGACGAGCACAGTCAACGGCGAAGCCCGTTTCACTCAACAATCGTGTTGCAAACTGAACACCTGCAGTGATTCACTTAACAACTCTGGCAAGACAGGTCGTAAAAGGGGGCAAAACTCACTTAACAACTCAGCAACGAAAATTTGGGGCTCCGTTGCGGTTGTTAAGTCGAGGACTGCCTGTACTTATGCTAACTGTCCGATGAAAAGGTTAGGGTGAAATCAGATCCTGTGAAAATAAAAGAGTCACATTTGTTTTGCATTTGCACAGCAAGAACTCCGGCGCTGGGATGCTTTTCTCTCTCAACTAAGGACCGGACACCCAAGGTCAACTGCTGGACAGTGACTGGGGGGCGGGGAGCTGGACCAAGGCCTGTCCGCCCAGCGGACTTTCCTGCCCTTCCGCGCCAGGTCTCCGCGGACCGAGGCGGAGCAGGTAGGCCGCCTCGCGGTAGAGCCGGGCTGGGGCGTTGCTAGGCGCCGGGAAGGCGCCGGGGAAAAGGGCGTGGCCTACTGCCCGGTAACTCGAAAGGGTAGCGTCTCGAGAAACCGCGCATGCGCGCCTGGCCCTGCCTGTCCTCTCTCTCCATCTCACCCACCGAATTCGGCCACGAGCGAGGCCAATCCACCGTAGACGAACGGCTTCCAGCTGAGGACGGACATCGCGGCTGCGGAGGAAGGGAGCCGGCGGGCCCCCTCCCCGCTTTCCCGGTGCACCTTCGTTCTTTCTGCGCTCCCTCGGTTTTTTCCCCGGCCAGAGAGGATTCGCGCTAGGTCCGGACGGCAGCCGGGAAAGGCCAAAAGTATTAACAAGAAAAAAAGGGGTTCGCCCTCAGCGGGCTGGGGAAAATGCGGAGAATCTCGAGGCTTGCGATTGGACGAGCCGGTGGGCTGGGGCTAAAAGTAGCCAATAAGAGCGGCGGAGCTCAAAAGTCTCGCCTGGGCGAGGGGCGCTGCCCCACCCTCCTCCTCTGGGGAGGCGTTCTCTTCAAGACCGAGGGGGCGTGGGTAAAGAAGAGGGGGCGGAGCCCAGAGGGAAGCGAAGGCTTTGATCTTGCCAAGGGCACCTTTCCATCACCCGCAAATGGGGGAACAGGAGACCTGCAGGAGATGCATAGAAGCCATCTTGGTGGGCCCTAGGGCAAGGATGGAAGAACAGGCAGCAGCTGAAGAAGGCGCCTCCATCTGCAATAGCAGTGTTTCTCAACCTTGACCATTTTAAGGCATGTGGACTTCAACTCCCAGAATTCCACAGCCAGCATTGCTGGCTGTGGAATTCTGGGAGTTGAAGTCCACGTGCCTTAAAATGGTCAAGGTTGAGAAACACTGTGCAATAGGGACAATCTTGCTTCTTCAAGTCCCCCCTGGTTGGGCATTCACCAATGGAAGTACAGCCTTAGGAATGGGATGGAGGGCTGGCTGCATTCGCAAGTGCTGAAGGTCGAGCAGATGTGTTCCTTCGCAAGTGAAGCCATTCTGTTAGTTTAGGGTTCACTGTAGTGTGCAGAAAATGAGTTGTGCAAACTGTCACTTGCAAATGTATTTTGGATTATCGCCCTTTATGGCCTTCTCGTTTTCCTGTCAGGGGCTGCCCCAAAGAAGAGGGAGTCAAGCTATTTTCCAAGGCGCCTGAAGGCAGGACAAGAAGCAACGGATGGAGACTAATCAAGGAGAGAAGCAGCCTAGAACTAAGGAGAAACTTCCTGACAGAACAATTAACCAGTGGAACAACTTGCCTCCAGAAGGGATGAATGCTCCAACACTGGAAGTTTTTAAGAAGAGACTGGACAGCCATTTGTCTGAAATGGTATAGGGTTTCCTGCCTGAGCAGGGGGTTGGACTAGATGACCTCCAAGGTCCCTTCCATCTTTATTATTACTATTATTATTATTATTACTACTATTATTATTATTACTATTATTATTATTATTATCAGCACTCGTGAAATGTCTGCGGTACAGTGTTTTAGTTGAAGACGAGAAGAAACGCACCTTCTCATCTGTCAATAAAACAGAAAATATTTGTAGCTCCGGGTTGACGGTTCATTATCCAAGCAGGGTAACATCGGTGTTAGAAGGGACTGGGGTTTGCAAATTTTTAAATCCAAAATGTCCTAGAATTCTTAATAAAATATTAATCTCTTCTCCGTAGGGGAGGGAAACAGGATTCAAAGATTACAAAGATATTTTTTTATCCAAAACACAGTATCTTCTGTGTTGATTAAACATATCAGATCTTCACGGTTTAGGATAGAGGTGTGCTGCTTGTTGCATTTCTACTTTATGTATTTGCCCACTCTCAAAAAAGGGTGGGGAAGCCAAGACAAATTCATGGATGTTTTCCACAATTTTTTAAAAATTAAAAGTCAATATAATGAATACATAATACAGTAATACATTTAGTCTGTATGTTTAAAAATGTCTCGCTGACATATATTCAGAATTATAGTTTGATAATTTAGAGCTCCTTAAAGACTCACAAGCCTTTGGGGGGCTAAATACAGCCCTGGGCTTGTGCACTTTTGTTCTGGTGCCCCACCTAGCAGTTCGCATACTTTCTCTGCTCAGCCTATTCACGTACCATCAGATCAGATCATGACAGTTACCAGCACAACAAACATTACAAAGATGCAGTGTTCACTGATCAATGAACAATTAACCTCACCATTGTCATCCCTAAAGTGCATAGCAAGTTATTGAAAGACTAGAAAGGTTCTGCTTAATTACCTTAATTACCTATAACATTACAAGGATGCCAAGGTGAATACCAACCAGGCCACTTGGAGAGGTGGGGCTGTTCTGCAAGGTGAGAGCCCCCTCCCACCCAAAACACATTATTGGTGAGCTCTCATCTCACCTAAGCTTTGTATCTCCCCTTGGGAGAAAGGTCCAGAACAAGTGAAGAAATCTGGGATCAAAGCGGTTTCATCAATTACAATAAACACTTTGAAATGCACCTGGAAGCCAATGCAATGCTCACAATGCTGGGGTGGTTCTTGCCTCCCAGCAGGTGGGCAGCTGAAGCTTTCAACTAATATTCAAAAGCATGTGCATCTAAAATATGTTCAGTAGCCTAGCTAGTGGTGATAAGGGCTTAAGTCACACTCCACGGGGCCTTTTGCTCCTGATAAGGCTGCAAATGGCACATCTCCCTTATCAGGAAAAAAAAACAAACAGCTGCCTCTGCAAACAGAAAGTGTGTTGTGTACATTTTCCACCACTGCCGGTAAAAAAAAGTGCCTGAAGGAGGAAAAAAATAAAAGGAGAAAAGGAGCCGGCAAAAATAAGAGAGGGTGAGAGATTGCAAACTGGCAGATGCACACCCACACGAGAAGGGAAGCATGTTAGATGTGTGGGTGCATGTGTGAGAGAGGATGAATTGATGCAATGAGAAAGGACATGAACCACAGTTTCAGCTTTGCCCCAATCAACCTCAGATGCATATGCATATCCTGATTGCTTAGCTAAGGGAATGCAGCCCCTGCATTGAAAAGACTGCTCATCCCTTGCCATACAATTATACTGCAACAAAGCAAAGGTAAAGGTGTTCCTGCAGGTAGGAACTTTGCTAGCCGTGGCAGACTTTAGGAGGCGGTGCTCATATTTGTTTCTTCAAGCCACTGAGCTCCCCAAAGACATTCTTGACATCATGTGGCCAGCATGGCATCATGTTGCACTGCAGAACATATGGCAAAACACAGAACGCTGTTACCTTCCCACAGAAGTGGTATCTATTTATCTACTTGCGTTTATGGGATTTTGATCTGCTAGGTTGGCAGGAGCAGAGGCAAGTGACGGGAACTCGCCCCACCGCACGGAAGTAGGACTCAAACTGCCAGAGCACAGATCTTCTCCTTTTAAGCCATCGCGCCTCTATGCCGCAACTTAAGAAGGATAAGTGCAAAAGCAGGAAAAATGAATTTGGCATGGGAAGCTGCAGACGGGGCAAACCGTTCAAAGTGGACTTATTAAGCCTAGATTTTGAAGTGGGGGGAATGGAAGACTCACACGGCTGTTTTGCATCTGGAATTCAGGCCTTTACTGCAAATGGTAGGGCAAAATAGCACCTTGATTTTGTTTCTTGTGGTTTTCCTTTCTGGAGAGACAAACCGCTGATCCAAAGAACACCCCAGAGTTTCCTCCTCCAATTCCAAAATTTAATGCTGAGCTGCCCCCCCCCCCCAACCCTGCCTGTTTCACCAAGCTGATGTTCTGACAGCACAGGCTTACGGCTGCCCTTTCTTGCGTGCAAGGAGAGAACACAGCAGTTGAGTTAGTAACGATTTGTGGATTTCTCCCGGGAAGGCTTCTCTCTGTTCTTTGAGCGATCCCGTGATCTGCTTTCTGATGCGTGCTGTCTATCTTTGATGGCCTCCGTTTTCTTGTGCTTCTCCTCACTGAGGGGCATCCTGCGCTCATGTCTGTCCCTTTCTGAGCCTCTTTCCCCAGATCGCTCTACCCCACTCTCATATCTGAGCTCTTGTCCTGGTGGCGTCCTACTCTGGTGTTGGCGCCCAGATGTGCTACCCCAAGTTTCCTGGTTTTCGCCAGCATAGCGTTCATACTCCGAGTCCTCCATTTCCACTTTAATCTTGGATTTGGGGAAAAGCACATCTGTACCAGGTTCCTCTTTGAGATGCTTCCGATGCTCTCGCTTTTCTTTCTTCTTCTTCTTCGTCTTCTTCTTTTTTTCTGAAAGTACAAGAAATGTAATCAAAAGGATTTCCACAAATATCTCGTTCAGATGCTATTCTATGCCTCCTTTATACATTTCCTGGTATTCCATCTTCCCAGAAACTCTTTCCTAGCTTTCAAACTGCGTGCAACTTTCTTTCTAAATGATTTGATAGGGAGTGCTCCTAAAAGCGTCTTGCCCCACTCTTACCTGACCTTTTTTCTTTAATTTTGTATTTCTCTTGGTTTACCCAGAAATGTTGGCTGTTAACCCTTCTATTTATTCGACTTCCTCTAACAGAAACGACCAGCACTTTCTATTTCACTTTTGCTCAGTCTCAACAACTTTAAAATGTGTGAATTTCAACTCCCCAAATTTTAGCTGGGAAAGTGTAGGAGCTAAAATACAGGCATCTTATGGGCGAAAAATTTTGGCTATAATATAGAATTAGAAAAATGGCAAATGTTATGGGAGAGAAACTACAAATTAACAATGTCAACTTCATATAAAGAAAATCTGTATAAAATGCTTTATAGATGGCACCTGCCGCCAGCAAGATTAGGAAAAATGTTTAAAAATATGTCAGATAGATGTTGGAAATGTAAACATAATATAGGCACGTACTATCACATTTGGTGGACATGTGGTAAGGCAAACCAAATAACCTCTTTCTATGTATACACCAATCTTTTTTATAACCCACTTGTTCACCTAAAATTTGGACTTGAAAAAAATGATCCATAATATGGACTTTTCTGATTATTCGTCTTTAATATAAATTAGAATGTGTAGTGGTGTCGTCGCTCTTATTAAAAAGCACAATACTGGAAGAATGAAGGATTGCCATCAGAAGAAATAATCAGGAAAGTATTGGAATGTGCAGAGATGGACAGATTAACTATGAGGTTGAAAGATAAAGAAGATACAGACTATTATCAAATTTGGGACCTATTTTATTGTTGGCTAGAGGAAAGAAAGAATGAAGGATTAAGAATTGAACATGTATTAGCATAGCAAACTCCAGACAACCCGTTGATTGGAAAAATTAACATATGTTTATGAAAAAAAAACCAATAAAATCTTTATAAAAAAAATACAGGCATCTTACATTTGCTCAGAATGAGAAAACAATGCTGAATTTTATCTTATATCGCAAAAGAACTTTAAAAATAGGGAATCAGCTATTTCTCTTTCATCCCAAGTTTCTTTTGGTTCTCTCAAAGTACTCCAGTTAACTGAGTCTGAAACACCACGTGTATATTAATGCAGGTACAATTCTGACTATTATGTCAGACATAATTCACCCGCCAGAAAACTAACAGGATTCTGGACCTCCAGCTGATTCTTCTTCATTGAAATGCTGCATATGTTGTGTATTCCTACATCTGGAAGCTTCCCTTAGCTTTAAAATGAGATTTGCATACAGCATAGAAACACACAACAGCCTAGTTCAAATAAGGCACATTGTAGCACAGCATATTGTGTGAATCAAGTCAGCTGTGACTTGATCAAATGTGATTAAACAAACTATTAGTTTTCCAATTTGTATAATTCTGGCCACAGAAAGAAAAAAAGACTTATCACCTTTCTTGTGCCTTTTTACTTCCACTTCATCTTCTTCTGAGGATTCAGCTGAACTTTGAGGAGGAGTTTTAATACCACAGCCTTTCTCTCGGAGACCCTTTGTAATCTCATCAATGTCCTCAGAATCTTTTGGTGGGCGGTAGTTGGCTACGTGGTCCACACGAATTGTCCTTCCTTTTATCTGCAAACATTATGAAATTACGAACATTATGAAACTATTGGTTTTTCCCCCCACTGAAGCTACATGAGCAGGTAACCATCAAATATAAGCAATTAAGATTTTAGCTTAAGACACAGTGAAGCCTGAGATAATCTTTGGATTATTATGAAAGAGGCTTTATTTTTGCTGTTATGAAAAGAGGATTTTCTGCCTGCTGCTCCCTTTCTGCTATGTCCATGAAGCCCTACATAATAAATTCACTGCATTCTTTCATAGAAGGCCTTAGTGTTTCTAAATATATATTGTATGTGAAACTGGGTCACAGCCCAGTCGGAGCAGCAAAATAACCAGAGGATCTTCAACGGCTAAACTAACCTTTATCCCATTAAAGTTATCAACTGCAAGAATAGTGCTTCGCTGATCTTCGTAGCAAATGAAGCAGAAACCTTTGGATTTCCCCGTCTTTTTATCGCGCACCAGGTTTATGTTCACAATTTCTCCATACCTGAACAGAAAAATGGAAGTTGACAATATTTAGTCTTGGGTCTAAAGAACAAAAAAAAAAAAAGGGAATGGCACAAGCAGGGATAATTTTGAGAAATACAAGTGTTGATGTAGGGCTTAAAGACTATAGCCCTTTTCCATACACTGAGACTAAGAACTATTTTACTAGATTACATCTCATCCAACATTTTCAATCAACTAGGTACCTACAAGCATTCATAAACCTCCCTGAAGCAGTGTAAGAATATTACTTATTTTCTAAACTACTATTTTAGCAAATAATCTCAGAAAAAAAACTGCCCTGGAATAGATACTATTCCAAAATGCCTGGGTTTTCTCTAACAAAACACTTAAAATCTTTTTCATATTTGTTTCAGCTAATCTGATGCTTTTAGTAAAAACTAAAGGCATCAGTTTAACTAAATAAAATAAATATTTTTTATTGTTCAGAGCTTTTTTTTAAAAAAAAAAATGGTGTCCATGTGGATTTTCCCAATAGAGGGAATAGCACATTTACACTCTACTCCCTGGCATTATTGTGGTAAAGACAAGAGCTGGCAAAATCATTGGTAAAACTACAAGACTAGACTGCACTCTTTTGAAGTAAGCATTATTCAACAGCAGTTGCTTCCAAATAGATGTATGTGATTTCACTATAAACGTTTCAAGCTAATTCGCAAATTACCCTTTTATTCCCATTCATTGTTATTTGCATTATAGTTTGGTTTTAATTGAAAAGCAACATCAAAGCAATCTCAGAGAAACATCTCATTTTCTGAAGTTAAGTTTTCACTGTTCTTACTTACTGTGAAAATACACAGATAATGTCCCCCTCCGTCAGTTCATATGGCAATCCCCCTAGAAAGAGAAAAGAAGGGAAGTGATTATTAAATGTTTAGCCATTTTGCTCTAGGACTAATCATAGCTTATGATGCCACAAGGGAGTGACACGGTAAGATGTCTCTAGGCACATTACGTACCCACAAATACCCAGGCGCTGCCACTATACTCTGCATGCCAGGAAACTTTATCCTGCACTCCCAGCTCTGCTTCACGCTGATTCAGCTCATTGATCAGCTTCACTTTGGTTAATGGGCTACGGAAGGAAAGAAGAATAAAAACAACGAGTCTTAATCTACACTTCATAATCCTTCTAAACAGCGATGTTTCAGCAAGAGGTGGCGATCCCAACAATTACTTATACAGGTAGTCCTCAACTTACGACAATTGAGCCCAAAATTTCTGTTGCTAAGTGAGACATTTCTTAAGTGAATTTTGCCCCATTTTACGACTTTTCTTGCCACAGTTTTAAGTGAGCGACTGCCGTTGTTAAGTTAGTCACATGGCGAAGTGAAACTGGCTTCCCCATTGACTTTTGCTTGTCAAAAGGTCACAAAAGAGGACACTGCAGTCGTCATAAATATGAACCAGTTGCCAAGCATCCAAATTTTGTTCCCGTGACCATGGGGATGCTGCAACGGTCGTAAGGGTGAAAAATGGTCAAAAGTCACTTTTTACAGTGCCAATTTGACTTCTTCAAACGGTCACTAAATGAACTGTTGTAAATTGATTCATTTTATCCCAACTTCATCCCAGAGATCTGTACTACATACACAAATTTTATCCCTCCACGTCCACACACTAGGCCAGCAAGAGTGGTCAAGCTGAAAGAGGGGGCCTGAATGGACACACATATTGGACCCTGGGCTACCCCATTTCCCAGCCCACAACAGGGTAATGTACTCCTCCTAGCAGCTCAAGGCTTAGCCTTAAGAAGGGGAGCGAAAAAAACCCCGGCAATGATAAATATTGCTAGATGAAAATGCACTCTGTGTAAGCCCAGAAACACTCTTCCGCATTAGTATTTCATCGATTCCATGCTTTATTCACCATGTAGTTCCGAAGTTGAATACTTATCCCAAAATAAGCCCTGCTCCCTCTTTTCCCGCCTCCATAAAAATATTTATTAATACTATTCTTTATTATCAAACTGCCGCTTACTTCATCCTGAAAGTGTCCTCCTGGGTTTGCACATGCGTCCTACAGCCCGCTGTACTGCGCAAGCGTGAGTCCGCCTCTCCCTCTCTCCGGTAGGCTGCGTCTCCTGGGCTGTAATGATTGGCGATTTTCCCTTCCTTCCGCTTCATCTCCTACTATTCTTCTCCCCCTCTGAAGTTCAGCGGGGAACCATAGAGATAGAAATGGGTAGAATAACACAAAGCTTAAATTCCGCGCAGAAGGAAAGATCGGCATTCTGATGTCGCCGGTCTAGGACGCTTATCGATGGTGAAAATTCTGCAGTTCGCCTTGGAAGTTTGCAAACGAATTGCATTCGCGATCCAAATGCTCCTAAAATCACTTTTGGGGCTCTAATTGTGCATCACGTGTTGCCTATGAATTCATTGCCTGCCATGCATCATCCATTCTTAAAACCCTTCCTGAACAATGTGAATGTGGCCACGATCTCTGATGTTTTTTTAAAGAGAGTGTTGAAGGAAAAGTTTTTTATTATGATTCAGTCCAAGCCGGGAATAAACCACATGGTGACTGCTTTAGAAAGAAGGTTGCAGTTTATTGGAGAGGAGAGCCAGAGTTTCCTAGCACTCTAAAGACAGTTTATTGTTTCCATTACATGACAACATTTCTCCTCCAAGATTATTGTTGGTAAACAAATAAATCAAGGTTTGATAAACAACTTAGACAATAATTTTACCATGATGATTAAAAAAGGGACAGAATGATGGATTGTCAACACATATAAACATACCTTTTTATAGCCTGATGGCCTCCAGATATTGGGTGGCCACAAATCTAGGAATGTATCTTAGATGAGGATCTGCTAAAGAGACTTTTCATCTATGAATGAGGATATATTTTTCAAATGTTAAAAGGTGCCACAAAATCCAGGGCCATTCAGACCTTTTTTTTAATGGGTTTGACGTAAGGAAGGAGCATAAAGCCACAAAACATAGCTCTGTTTTCCACTGCAGACATCCTTATTGCCCGTCACATGCTGCGTGAGAACTTTTACAAGATTGTTTGCAAGCAAAACAACCAACTGAACTTCAGCCTTCAACCAGTCAGCAAAGTGTTCCTTATAATGTTTTTGCTGCCTGGATTCGTAGGCCATGGTGGTTTTTCAGTGATAAGCTACGTCCAGTTGAACACAGTTCATTCAATAAACCTACAATAAGATTTAGCATCAAGTGTGAACCAGTTCATTGTCAGGTGAATCCAGCCAGGGAAATGGAGCAGCCCAGATAGCACATACTGATGACCCTTAACTCATGACTGGCTACCCTTCAAAAATTACAACGGACCTTAAAAATTGGGCTTACAACCCGGTTTTAAAGTTACGATGTCTGTGCCACCTTCATCTCCCTGGGACAGTATGTGGGGCTCTCGGCAGCTGACACACATCTACGGCCATTTGCAGCATCTTGTAGTCCTGTGAACACAATTTATGGTTTTGTTGGAAACTGGTGTTTACTTAGGGTTTCCAGCAGCAAACAATTTTAACAATAGCAATAGCACCTAGACTAATATATTATTTCCTAGTGCTTTACAGCCCTCACTAAGTGGTTTACAGAGTCAGCATTTTGCCCCCAACAATCTGGGTCCTTATTTTAACTGGCCTGAAAATCAAGATCGAACTGCTGGCAGTCGGTAGAATTAACCTGCAACACTGCATTCTAACCACTGCGCCACCGCAGCTCTTTTTAATTAATGAATTTTACACTTCACGACCTGCCACAATTGCTTAGTGACTGCCACAAACAAGGTGATAAAATCGGGCACGGTCCCATGTTGACCCACTTTATGACTGTCACAACGTATGACTGAAATTGCGGACTCAATTAAACTATCCAATAAAGGAGAATATTTGTAGCTCAGGATTGAAATGAGGGCTCCTTGGTGCTCTCTGAGCTTGGTTGTTTTCCTGCAGACATTTTATTACCCAAACTAGGTAACATCATCAGTGCTGATGACGTTACCTAGTTTGGATAATAAACGTCTACAAGAAAACAACTAAGCTCAGAGAGCAGCAAAGGCTCCTCAATTAACAATCAAAACTCGAGGACTATCGGTGATGGATTTCTGAGGAGAGTAGAGAAAAAGCCACACCCAAACCAAGTGTGAGCCATACAAATGTTTATTAATTTAACATGGAATTCACTAGAAACGAGCAACGTTGATTCAGTTTATTGAGGCACACAAAACCACCTGCCCAGCCCTCCCGGTTCAACGGTCAAGACTGTCCTTCAGCAAGGACAGGAATTCCTATTGCCAGAGGCCGGTGCCAGCTCTATTTTCTGTCCCTTCCCTTGCTGCCTCTCCATGTCCCGATAGAGCAGAGACTTGTGAGCCTTCAACCGGCAGGCCAGACACATGAAAATAGACTCCACGTTCTGACTCTCTTTGGGGTCCTTCGCGGAGGTTTCAAACAAAAGCATATTGTGGGCATCGGCAAATTTCAGGGCCATACTGGACGGGACTTGGATTTGATCCCGCAAGTCACACTTGTTTCCCACAAGCACTTTGGGGACGAGAGCTGGGACCGCGTGGCCGTTGCACTCCTCAATCCAGTTTTTCAGGTTGAGGAAGGACGCCATTTTTGTGACATCATAGACAAACACCACAGCGTGGACGTTGCGGTAGTAATGCTCCACCATGCTCTTCCGGAACCTCTCTTGACCTGCTGTGTCCCACACCTGGACCTGCAAAAGAGAGCACAACACTTGCTATTGATACAGCTTTCCTGCCTCTTCCAGTTTTAAGCCATGGGTTCTTCACCCCGTTGCGGGATTCCCTAACTCTTTTCAATTTGCCCTTGATATAATTCCCTTTACCGGGATGTATTCTTGGTTCCAGGAAATGGGGCATTTCGAACGGCAACCCTAGAAGTCCTAGAGCAGGGGTCTTCAAACTTGGCCCTTTTTTAATGACTTGTGGACTTCAACTCCCAGAATTCCTCAGCCAGCTGGCTGAGGAATTCTGGGAGTTGAAGTCCACAAGTCATTAAAAAAGGGCCAAGTTTGAAACCTCTGTCCTAGAGAGAAGCATCAGCAATATGCATTTCTGATGCCAGGTGTTAGTCCTTGCGTTTACAGACAGTCCTCGGCTTATGACCACAATTGAGACTGGAATTTCCATTTGCCAAGCAAAGAGGTTGTTAAGTGAGTCGCATCTAATTTTACGACCTTTCCTGCCATGTTCGCTAAGCGCGGTTAAGTGAATCACACAGTCATGAAGAGAATCCGGATTTTCCATCGACTCTGCTTGTAAAAAGTCAACGGGGAAGGTCACTAAGGCCGATCATGTGAATCGGAACTCTGTAAATACAGATGTGCTTGAATTTTGATCACGTGACCCTGGGGATGCTGTGACAGTCATAAGCGTGAGGAACAATCGTACTGACTTTTCACAGTGCTGTTGTAACTCTGAACGGTCATTCAATGAACGGTTGTAAGTTTAGGACTCTCTGCCTACTGATGTCCTTCTTTCAAGGATAACGCAAATGTTTCTCCTCGTTCATTTTATTCTCCTGACAACTCTGTTTTGGATGGGAGAGGTTCCACTCTCACTTGAGGACCTCCAAAGCCGATTTGCACATGGAGATTTGCACACTCTGGAGACAGCATTGATCCCATCTTCATAACTCAGCACAGCCTGATAGACCTTGCCTGGCTCAGCAAACAGAGACTGCCACTCCCCTCAGCTCATTCCTTTCCCAGCCTGGGCTCTTTTGCACAAGCTGGCCTTTGTAATCTGGTCTCAGACGCTCCTTAGGGCTACAACGCTATCTTTTGTCCCCAGAGGGTGTGTGAGATTGCACTAACCATAGAGCAAAACAGGGTGATAAAATAGTTTAGACTGAGAGAGAATTTCAGGTAAGGGGCAGAGAGAGAAGCCACTTTGGACCATCAAACAAAGGAGCAGTAAACATCCTGGAAGGAGAGGGGGCTTCATCGGAGAGAAAATATTCAACCTTCTGCATTTTTTTTTATTTCTTATATTTTTCTCAGTTGGCATTACTCATTTGTCTTTGCATTTTTGAGCTGTAATTATTTAAAAAATAATTATGCCTCCTCCTTAAAGTCTATCCCCATCTCCTGAAGATCCTTCAATCCTGTCTTTATTTAAAAGACATTTTAAAATAATATTGCCTCAGGCCTACAACTGGATGATGGAGGCAGATCATCAAATACTTCTGTGTCCAGAAACACCTCCCTCATTTTGCAAAAAACAATGGTAGAAATCAAAGGCAAAGAAAGATTTTTTCCTCTCTCTCTCTGATGGCTGGGATGGTTCCTGGATACTCAAAAGGTTAAAAGCAGCAGTGTTCCACAGAACCTCCCCCTCCTGCAGGAATACTCTGAGGTCATCTTGCTCTCATCCACATCTGTGCAACACAGAGAGAAACAGGAACAAAACAGAAATAGAACGGGTTTCCACACATGCTAGAGAGTAGGCTAAGATCACATTTTGCAAATTCTATATATCAGAGGTCCCCAACCTTTTGGGCACTAGGGACCGGTTCAGTGGAGAGGTTTTTTCATGGACCAGAGTGTGCGTGGTTTTGTGTGCTGCCTGCATCCCATGGATGGGGCTTTGCTTGTTTGTGCGGACCGGTTGCTGGCATGCTGCGGCCCAACATTGGTCCACGGACCAGGGGTTGGGGACCCTTGCTATATATCATGGATGGACCCTAACCCCTGCCTCCACATGACCTGTGAACCAAGCCCTCTGACCAAACCAGGATATGGTGGATTTGCTTATGTGCTCCCATAACCCAAGTCTAAAATATATGAATATACTTTTTGAGTAATAGGTGGGTCTGATAGTACAAATAGGAAATAAAAGTGGGCAGGCAGCTAGAGCAAAAATGATGGAACTTTGTTTTTCTATATGACAACTGCAGCGAGATTGTTAGATGTTCAGAAGCGGAAAGGTTTGACGCTATTCACCAATAGAGGAATGGTTGGGAAAGATGAGGGAACTTGTAGAGATGGCTAATTCGACATCTTTGATTAGAGAAAAGATAATATCCACATTTATAACTGACTGGAAACCCCGTGTGGACTTTTTGCATGAAACAGGAAAAAAATGCATTGAAGAGTTGTGGTTTGGATAATAGAAAAAGTTAGCTTTTTCATAATCATATAGTATTTGCTGCAAAGGAAATCAGATGCTTCTATTTCTTTTTATATTTTCTTTTTGCATTTTTTCCCTTTCATTCCCTCTGTTCTCCTTATTCTGTATTGGTTTCTATTCATTTAATGTTCTCTCTTTTTTTAAAATAACTTTTTTTTAAAAAAAAAAGGAACTAAAGATTATTGCCACTTCTGAAACAATAGGAAGAGTACAGAACCTGTGTTTTTTCCAGAATTCAGGGTAATTCAAAATTCTGCATCCTTCTGCCGTTATTTCAATGAATTATCTTTCTAACTCTTCCAGACTCTTATTTATCCATTCACCCTAGAATTCTGACTGGCTAGACAGGATATAGCAGATATAACCAAAGTGGTACAATTTACAGATGACCTCTCTAATGTGTAAAGTGAAAGAAAAATTAAGCTTTTCCTAAGCATCTCTTCTGTTTTCCTCCACAGAGAAACATAACAGAAGGACGCTCAGCGGTACCTGTGTTAAACAGATGGGTTTGTAATCTTGGTGTTCTCATATTTCTCTTCCTTTTTGCCAATGCCCTCTTGCTTACATTTTTATCAGATTTTTGCCAATGGGATAAATAAAGCCCTCATCATGAGTGCATTCAAACATTACCAAATCGGTTCACCCATGCCTCATCATCTGATCTGGCAAAACAGCAATCTGTGTTGAATGAAGCATGACAGCTCAAACATCGATTCATCCCAAAGGCAACCTTGGAAATCCGTGCTCAATCCCAGCATTGAGTAACTAATCAATGGAAATGCAAAGCATGTTCCAGGCAGTCAGTTTGATTTTCCTTTTTTTAATATATATAAACATATTTTAATATTCTAATCTAGCCATTGTCTCTCTACTGCAGGATGAAGGCCTTTTCCACATGTTTCCTTCTATGATCGGGGCTTTTGATGAGGCGAGGGGGCTTGTGTGAGTAAATGAAATTGTGGGCTATGCCGTCAGACATGTATATGTCCAGAAGGTCACCCAAGGCGAACAGGCCATGATGGATACCCCAGACTAACACCGATCGTATCTGCCAACCCACATTGGATTAGCGTGTCAGATTATAGTCTATTCCTTCAATATGTCAATAAAACCTCAAAAAAAATTAACATACATCATAGTATAAAACAAGGAGCCAGTTGGGTGTAGCGGTTAAGGCATCAGCCTCGAAGCTGGGAGATTGTGAGTTCTAATCCTGCCTTAGGCACAAAACCAGCTGGGTGACCTTCGGCCAGTCACTTTCTCTTAGCCCTAGTAAGGAAGCAATGGCAAACCACTTTCTAAGAACCCTTGCCAAGAAAATTGCAAGGATCAGTCCAGGAAGTCTCTGAGAATTGGTCACGATTGAATGGAAGACAAAAATATATTAATAATTATATGCAAATATATAATGCACACTAGATTTAGATTTAGATTTTAGATTTTATTAAATTTATACCCCGCCCTTCTCCCGGAGGACTCAGGGCGGCTTACAGCCAGTTTAAAACAGTGATACAATACAAAATTTAAAAAGATTAAAAATAACTATTTAAATTTGGCCGCTTCTACTAAAAATTTAATTTAAAACCCCTTTAAAATACCCCTAGGCCAGTCCTNAGGAGCAGGAGGAGGAGGAGGAGGACGGCCGCGGGGGGGCTCACCAGCGCCGCTGCTCCGGCTCAGCCAGCATGACGGAGGGGCGGCCGAGCCGCGGGCTCCCCACCCAGCCGCAGCCGCCGGAGCAGCCTCGCTTCGCCGGCCGGGAGCCGCCCCTGGGGTCGCGCGGCCATTGGCTGTCGGGCGCCCAGCCGGCTTCCAGCGCCCAGCCCGGCGAGGCGGAGCTACAGCTGGCCGCAGCTGGAACTGCGCCGCTCGGCTCGGCGGGGAGGGGGGGGGGCTGGAGGGCGGCCCCTTTGCCCGGTCCTCTCCTGCCCTCGACCGGCTCCGAGGACCCAGCCAGGGGGCTGCTTTGCAAAGGCGGAGGAGCCGCATAAGCGAGGCAGGGCTTGCCTCTCTCTCGCTGGCGCTCAGACGTGCGGCGGGCTGGGGCGGATCCAGAAGAGTGCCGGGGCTTGAAAGGGAGGGGAGGGGGCTGCCGCTCGTTTACGAAGGGCCGCCGGCTACAGGTAGTCCTCGACTTAACAGCCGCTGTTCAAGCTGGTCTCCAAAGCACCAGCGGGCAGGACAAGAAACCGTGGAGGGAAATTAACGAAGGAGAGAATCAACCTAAAACTAAAGAGAAAATTCCCGACAGTTAGAACAATTAACCAGTGGAACAACCTGCCTCCAGAAGCGGTGAATGCGCCAACACTGGAGGTTTTTAAGAAGAGACTGGACAGCCATTTGTCTGAAATGGTGTAGGGTTTCCTGCCTGAGCAGGGGGTTGGACTAGATGACCTCCGAGGTCCCTTCCAACTCTGTTATTCTATTCTATTCTATTCTATTCTATTCTATTATTCTATTCTATTCTTATTCCGGGCCCCTTTGCTAGACAAGGCAGTTGCTGATTCCAGTCCAATATTAAGATTATTGTTTTTTTTGCCAAGGTTTTTAAGCCAATCGCTGCAGTCGTTAAGCAAATCCTGCAGTCGTTAAGCGGATTGGGTTCCTCACATTGACTTTGCTGATTGGAAGCAGGCTGAGAAGATCAGAAATGGTGATCACGTGATCCCAGGACGGCGCAACGGTTATAAATACATGCCGGTTGCCAAGTGTCAGAATTTTGATCATGGGGATGCCGCAACAGTCCTAAGAGCAAGGACGGGTCATAATTCCCCCCCCTTTTTTTCAGTTTTGTTGTAACTTTGGTCGTTAAACAAATGGTTGTAAGTCAAGGATGACCTACATCCTTGAAGAAGCTCATTGGGACATGGGCATCAAGAGGGCAGGCTCCTAAAAATTAGGAGAAGTGAAAGGATGCTTATTTGGGATTCCTATTATCCTGCGTTGAACAGGTAAGAGCAGAAGTTAAAAATCTGGAGGCCAGACTCCCCCCCCCCCAGATTTATTCAGGAGTAGGAAGAACAGAGGCAGGAGATTTTACTTAAGAGAAGCAGCAGTGTCTAATAATAATAATATGGGGCGCACGTGTTTTCTTCATCACAATTTTCTGTTTTTAGGCCAAGCTTTAAAAGGGATCTTGGTCCTGAACTGTGAGAATTACACCCTGAAAACCACACTTAGGTGACATGCCGTTAGAAATGAATGAACACTTGATCTCTGATGTAACGCTAGGGAAAAATCACATTGAGATGTTACAAAAAAAATGTATTAGCTATACCTAATGTGGTTACAGGCCGTTAATTTCATACATTTTCCCTTCTGTCACAATGAAATAGAATCTTTTGGAAAGATGCTTGGGAAATCACTGCCAAGGATTGGGAGGAAACATGTATCACTTTTGGGCCTTAGTGTGTGACTCAGTTGGTTAATTCTCAATTCTTGATGAGCTTCCTTTAGCCCTTTGGAATTGTTTTGCCCCATTGAAACTGCATCAATC